ATAACATGTGCATAAGTGTTTTCATATACTCCCTTCGTCCAAAATAACTTGTCCCAAATTTGTTCCTCAAATGGATGTATCTAGCACCAAGTTAGTGCTAGGTATATCTCTTTAAGGGACAAGTTTTTCCGGACGAGCGAATATACCTAGCGCATATATATGCGACGCGACGCGAATGTGTGTGTGTGTGTGTGCGCGCACGCGCGCGCGCAATCATAATTCAGTTCAAGACTTAATTTGGTTGCAAACATATAGGATAGCTCCACCAAAAACAACCAATCTATAAGAACATATGTAATAGGCATTTCTAAAATATCTCATCATACAAAGAAGGTGTTATTTAAGTTTACACCCTGAACATAATTTTAAAAAATAATGATAATAGCATATTTGGAATCTACACATTTTTCTGATGAATTTTCATATATGGCATGTCAGATTTGAAGTTAGGGTTTCAAAGATATGAAAATTTCAAAAAGTAATTGATTTTTTAAAGAAAAAGGGTGGGTGTGGGAATCGAACCCACCAATGCGCTGCTCGGATGGTCGTTGTACATTAGGGGATCTTCTCTTATTGAGCTATGGGCGAGCACGAAAAAAAAAAGAAACCAGACGTTTTTCTCACTTACCGATGGCATAGGTGGGTAATTATTTGCAACTTTAGGGGCAGTTTTAATGATGGACGGGCAGAAGCGGTAGCCGCTTTATTAGTAGGTAAAGATATAAAAAAGGGTTTGACCGGAAAAAGTATTGCATCTGCTAAGTATCAAACCCACAACCTCCACTTTTACTCCTTTGGGGCATAACCAACCAATCTAACCACAAACTTTGGTTGTAACTGTGGGTCCTTTCTTCCATAAACAGTCTCACATCGCTGCTCACAAGTTTTTTCGTCCGTCTGTCTCCCTCTGTCACAATTGCAAAAACTACGAGTAAATTGCAAAAACCCACTACAATTGGGGATCCTAATTCAAAAAAAAACATATTTCAGTCTTTTTTCAAAAATTCATCACAATTGTGCTGACAGTTTTCAAAAAACACTGATCACCGGATTATAGACGTTTGACAAAAAAACTGACAGCGGGGTCCCACCTGCAAGTGATGAAGTGGCAAGAAAATGTGACGCCGTCCGCATGGACCGTTAATTTGACGTAGGCCCACTTGTCACTGTCTCATATCTCTCTTCATCTCTTTCTCTGGCATTACGTCGAGCAGTTCGTGAGCTCCTGCATCTTCGAGGCGATCTCCGCCATGCACGGGGCCGAGGCGCGAGGCTGGCGTGACCCCGGCGGTGCAGCCGCACATTGGCGAGGCGGCGGAGCTTGATGCGATGCAGCTGCGCTCTCGAGCCGGCGTCATCTGCTGCCCCGTCCAACTTTTTATTCCAAATCCCCATCGGCTGCCGGCGTGCCGCACGGCTGTGCCGGCCTTGGGGCGGCACTGGAGAGGCGCGCGGGGTTGTGCACTTGCGGGAGGACAAGTCGCATCGACCTGCGGCTGCGGGGCAAGAGCGGGGTGGCCGTGAAACTCGGCAGCGGCGAGGCCGTACGGCGGCTTCGGGCGGCGCTAGGTACGCCGATGATGGAGAGTACGGGAGGGAGAGCTGGGAGGTCGAAGAGGACGGTAAGATCACGCAGCAGACGCAGGGGGTGCAGGCGATGTACGGGGGCTCCGCCATGGTCGCCAGCGGCGGCAGCCGGAGCGCGGCGTCGGGGCAAGGTGGCTCGGGGCCGAACGGGTCGACGGGTACTTGTCTGGAAGCTACATGAGGGCATGGCAGAGCTTATGGTGGTAAGAAGAGGCGCTCGGTTAGTCGGAGTGGAGCGCATCGACGATGAGGACGCCGGTCGGAGCCGAGGAAGAACGGGACGTGAGCGTCGCGTCTGGGTCTTCCCGCATTGATTCCTTCCGCGGGGAGTCTGCGCGTGCGTGCAGCCGTGCTCGAGCTGCACCACCGCGCCACCACCCGCGCTCGGCCGGCCGCACCCTCCGCCGCCCCGGCGCACCACCACGAGCCCCCCATGGGGAATACGACGACGGCGGCTGCGTAGACATTTTTTTCCTTTTCTTCCAATGACACCTGGACCCCACACGTCAGGTCCGTTAAGCAATATAACTTCCGTCTCTTTGGACACGTTACATGGTGGCACGTCAGCAAGATAGTGGGACCCACCTGTCAGGTTTTCACTGAAGCTGCTCTAATCCAGTTATCAGAGTTTTTTGAAAATTGTCAGCACAATGGTGGTGGTTTTTTGAAAAAAAATCAAAACGTTAAAAACGGCTCACTGCAGCCTGCTCTACTGCGTCCCAAACGGCTCAGCCTCATACCGAGCTCGCGCACAGAGCCATGGGTGCAGTTCCTTTTTTGGGCCTTTCAAAAATCAACCAAAAAATAGTTGCTCCTGACCAGAGTCTAACTCGCAACCTCATTCGGAGTCCCAAATCACAACTGGACCAGCTGACTGGAGTTAGAACAGTGCCGTTTGCACATATGAAATAGTCCCACCTCGCTACTTTATAGGAAATTCTACCAGTTTTTATATGTTTGCGAGGTGCTTGAAAATCAGGAAGTCACCTAAAAAGACAGAAAAAAGAGCATGAGGTGTCGGTCCGTTTATCCCAAGGAAACCAAGACAGAAAAAAGAGCATGAGCTCGCCGTGCATGAAGCTCATGTTAATGAAAATCGTATGCATCCAACTGACTAGCCATTATATTCAAGATTTTACAGGTTTCTAAACTCGTATTTTTTATTTTCTCCCGTTGCAACGACCTGATGTTTACTACTCTCTCCGTCTCATAATATAAGATCGTTTTGCAAGCTAAAAAATCTTATATTATGAGATGTAGTAGTACATATAACATTTCTTTTCTACAAATTTTGGTACGTATTTTCGTCCATATGCTACAAAGCTTCATCCATCATCCGTCTCCTGCATGAGCTCCACACGATTTCCGTTTCTCCCCTCCGTGAGCCGAGCTGGGTCCATCCCGAACCATTTTTATTTCTTTTTATTTGATTATGGCATGGAGGTGAGAATGAAACTACAAAAACCGCAGTCTGAACCGCATATATTTGTTAATCATTTAGCAAAGACGGTATGGTTGAAAGCACAATTATTTTTTTATCAAAATAATAGATATAGATCAAAAATTAAGTACTATTTTTTTAGCCTATGGGAACTCAATCGGTTACATTTTTTCCCATTGCAACGCACGGGCATTTTTGCTACTAAGATATTAAAGGACGAAAACAAAACATGGCACATTTTTTTCTAAGGGGGAGCAGGCTATATATTTCATTCGTGGATTGGGGCCCAAGAATAAAATAAATGGGTAGATTCTTATGGGCCATCAGAAGTTGCAAGGAGGTCCAACTAGGTACAATGAGGTGGCTAGAAGCGACTGAACCAGAAATGCCCAATGCTCGCTATAGTCTTTTTCTATTCATCGTGGGTTTGAACGTATTGGTGCATTTCCTTCCTTTGAAAGGTCAGATGGCACGGTTTTTTCAACAAACCAACACCAGCTGACAAGTCCTCGCTAGCCGTATCCCGGCGCCAAGGGAGCGCAAAGCCCACCCACGCCTAAGTAAAAGCGCCAAAAACCTGATAGGCCATCGCCGCCTTTCTTATTGTCTCTGCTACATCTGCCTCTCACTCCCTCACGCTTCTAAGGTGAAGCTATCGCTGTTGTCTATACGAGACACAACCATCCTGAGAGAGGGATATAGAGAGTAATGAATCTCTCAAAACTCTTTCCTTATAGTATGTTGTTATGATTTGTTAGAGCATCTTCAAAAGATTGTCTAGACGGTTGTCTATATGAAACATAAACAATGTGATGCAAAAAACTCTCTCTAGCAAATTGTCTAAATATGTAAGTGGGAGCTAAGGGCAGGCGTATTAAAAATAACATTATGCGGTTTTTTTTTCACCTACTGCCATCCTAACTCGCACTCGCAACCTCAGCAACCGCGGCTAGCAAGCACACAAGCACGTGAATGGTCGATTGCCTACCTAAGCGGGCTTAGGCTAGCTCCTTAATCCACACTGGGAAGCTTTTCTTCCCGCAGCACGTTCAAAATCAGGCGAATCTTCTTGATGAAAGGGACAAACACACACATGCTCTGCTGGTAGCTCCCAGTTCATCCAAACAACCGGCAGCAAACATAATCTTGATTATTCTTCCCTAATGCATCGGATGAATCACCACCACCGGTTAATTTCTTGCTTTACTCCTGGCAACCTACTCATACAGATGGGTCGATGGGTGGTCACTTAGCTTTGTGTTTTGTCTAGAGGACGCATATATAGCTGAACTTACACCCGCGTGCTAAAACTAACGGAGATTGAATATAAACCGATGGATCTCACTAAATTTCACCGCAACCTCGCTAAATTATCTTGACACTACATTTACCAAGGTAACACTGCAGTGTCGGAAATGGACGCTGCAGGTGAAGAGCTAGCTAGGCTGATAGCAAAGGCTCCTACCACATGGTAATTAAGACCCACGGATCCCAGCTCGGTGATGCTCTTCCTGCCGTTAGGGCATAGCAACCTGAAAAAAATCTTCCGTTCCGCAGACAGGGATATCAGTCCGCAGACATGAATGCGGGAGGCAGTCATCCAACGCAAGCCGCATATTGTCTGTCAGTAAATTCAAATTCAAATCTACGATGACCCACACAATGCGCTAGATCACACCCATGCCGGATCGCATCCCCGATCACAACTAAAATAAAGCAAATATACTTACTTTTTACATGCCCGAATCCAATAAAACATCAGTACAGCAGTGCGTGCATTTCTGCCCGACCGGACCAGCCATCCCAGCAAGATGTTTCCCGATCAAGGAGGTGCCGCTGCCAACGCGTAGGCATCCACCGCGTCCTCATCTTGCACCACCGCCAACTGATCTTTCTGCCGCTCCAACATCTGATAGCGAACGGATTGTATGATAATTCTAGCGTCAGCATTCAAAGAGTCGATATTCAAGGTTCACATCTTGGCGCCCTCCGAATTGGCGGCGTAGTAGTATGGATACTTGTAAGGCTCTGGCCACGGCGCCGTTAGCACTATGGGCGCGGCCGTCTGGCGGCGTCCACCACAGCCTCGCCGACTGCCCAGTCCACCTCGTCGGCCCGGACCATCGCCACCACCAGGCCCACCGGCGGCCAGATGCTTCCTCATCTTCTCCTCCTTTGCGCCCTTCGCTTTGACATGGCGATTCTGCCACGTCTCCAAGCTGATCTTCCGGACAAGCGTGATGGTCGGATCCTCCGGCACGTCCGGCAGCTCCGCCGCCTCCATCTCCGACAAGTTGTCCAACGGTTCTATGCGTCGGCAGTGGAGGGAAGGAGAGGGTGGGAGAAAATAGCGAGAATTGGACAGAGAGCGGCGTGAAGTGGAAGAAAAGAGTGGGGAATTTTGGCGCGGAAACAGTGCATGATGCTACAAAAGCGTGGGCTCGGCCCTTCTGTTGAGTGGTCCAGGAGACTCCCCCCCCCCACCCACACACACATGTTTATCTCCGATTTGCGTGAGAGATCACGTCCGTACCACTCCACGGACCGATACAAGTCAGCCTTAGATGGATTTTACGGTCCGGACAACCTGAAGTCAGCCTTAGATGGATTTTACGGTCCGGACAACCTGATCCGAACGGTTGCGGGAGGTTTACTGGTCGGCGCTGGAGATGCTCTTGGATGCCAAATCGAAAGCGGCGATGGTGGCCAACTAACTCGTGAACTCACTGTCGCCAGGGCAGTAAAACGGCGGTACAAACTGGTAGCAGTACCATCGAAGCGGTAAAAAGCGTGTGGTGTTCTGTGTCATGTGCCCGACCGTGCATGGTACGTCAGGACAACAGTGCGCAGTTGGTTTGGACTGTGAACATGCACGAAGGCTTCAGCTAGCAAACGAGATAGTACAACGCAAAATAATTATACTTTTTTCAACAGGGAAAAATAATAATCGGTTGGTTTTCAGATACGGAAGTCAATGGTCTTGGTAGGTTGATGCATCGTTCTTTAGATGTACGAGAAAGTAAATTAAGCTATGGGATCACATGCCCTGCACTTGGGTCATGTCTTGAAAGTTAATTAATTTCTTTGCGGAGTGGCAAGGCCAGAGGCTTTAGGCTGATAATCATCAGGAAATGATGAAGCTAAACTGTGAAGGACAGATGAAGCTAATATAAAGTGTGCTGTCTGCGCATAAAGGACCCACAAAGTGGAGAATAGAAAATTCTACGTATTGTGGAGTTCCAGTTGCATGCAGTGCACTTTCTGGGGCAGTTCTCTTTTGGACCCAAAGAAAAAGGAGACCCTGCTACATTTTTTTTCTCGAATACGCAAAGCTATCATTGCATTGATAGAAGAAGTAAGAAAGAGTACAGGTGATGGTACAACACATGACACGAACGCAAGAAGCATGAACATGGCGTCCGAAGCAAAGAAAACATGGGATGCTCAAGCCCAAACAGAGAAAAAACACGGCTAAACTCGCCGCTCAAGCACGCAGCCCAAACCAAACCAAACGAACAAGACAATCAGCATCTCGAAATCCACCACCGAGGACGCCGCGAGCAACAAGACGACGCCTTCATGAAGGAGAACGACGCCATGGCGCTGTCGCCGTCCGATCCGTAAAAAACGGACCTAGGGTTTCCCCTGACGCTCGAAGAGGGGCACCGATAGCAACCATGGCAGCGCCTCCAGGAAGGAAACGGCACCCGCGGGTGTCGCTGCTGCCAACATCGAAAGATCAAGCAAGGATTTCGCCTTGGCCAAGTCTGCGCAATCGCATGCCATCGAGGCAAAATTCGAAGATGAGAAAGTCTGGTCGTAGGCCCGAACCAACACCACAGGAAGGGGAGCTACCGGAAGAACGAGCTGCAGGACAGGCGGAGGGGCGGATGGCACGGAAGTGGGCGGGTTGGCAAGCCACGCGGAATACCGATGACACAGGCATCAGGAAGGGGGCGTGGGCGGCCGAAGACCCGGATGAGCACAGATCCGGAAAGGGGCGTAGATCCGGGCTGCCGGGACCGGAGCCGCAGGGACGCCCGGCGAGCTGAAGTAGCTGGAAGGGGACGCAGCTCCAGGAGCACGCCGGAGTCGAAGCCGCACCGGGGGGAAGCCGGCCAACCAAGGTCACCTGCAGGGGATGGATGCGGAGCTGCCGAGATAACAACAAGCCGGAGGAGCCGGAAGAAGACGCAGCTCCAACACGGTGAACGCCGGATCTGGAGCCGCTGTGGACAGCCATGGACACGGGAGGGGACGCAAGTCCATAGCCGTCGGTGCCGGAGCCGCACCTGCAGGAGAGGGAGGGTGAAGGAGCGCAAGCCTGCCAAGGTCCTGGTCAGCGCGCTGCAAGGGCAGACGCAACCAGGCAACCGCCGAAAACCACCGAGGAGCAGCCACCCCAAAGCAATGGCCGCAGCCTGGGGGAGGAAGAACGCCTTCGCGGCGCCCCAAGAGCAGACCGGCCCGACCAAGAACCCCGGAACCGTCCTCCGGGAATCCGGCGCCGGCAACAGCAGAGGTGCTGACGGCAGCACGGATCTGACACGGGAATAAGGTGGAAGGGGGCGAGGACGCGCTGGCGAACGGGCGGGGCAGCCGGAGCCCGGACGGAGGGGGGCGGGCGAGGGGCGAGGAGGAGGGCGGGAAACACGCCGGCGCCGGGACGCGCTGGGATCCGACAGCGAAGGGGGAACGGCGGCGTCTTGGAGGCGGGCCAGCCGAGGCGCCCCGCCACCACCATCCTGGGAGCCGGCGCGGCTTCGCCGGCCGCTCCTCCGGTGGCGGCGAGGAGGTGGGGCGGGGTGGAACGGAGTCGCAGGGTCGCGTGCTAGGTTCCCCCGCCGCCGCGAGGGGAGGCGACGCGGGGACGGGGTGGAGAGAGGTTTACTGCACCACCGGTGAACACCACTTGCTTGACCCTGCTACATTCACAAAGGCGCTAGTGGCAAGGAAATTTTTCAGGTCATGCATCTATGAGAACTGAGTAGAGGAGTAATAATCCAAGCAGGCTGGTAACAGGTACTTACTACCAATAATTTCTGGACATCTAATCGGAGGCAAATAATAGGGGCGCCCACAACTTATCAAGGACTATTAGTTTGATTACCCAGCAACTGCAAGCACTGCACTCGTTGTCCTCTACCTGAAGAAATAGAATCATCAGTCAAGCTAGTCGGAGATGGGCGGCTCGGGAGCTCGTCCTAGCATCCACACACGCAAAGGAGTGCCTCGCCACGGAGTTCCAACTGGCAAGGTTTAAAACTGTCAGCGCCATGGAAGACTATCGGTGAGTAGCACTTCGCAATGACGGTCGATGTGACTCATGACTTCTGGGTAGTTGATCGCCTCACCGAAAACTTCCGAGCAGACGGTGCACGAGCTACATTTGATGGGTTTCCCGATGTCTTCTATTCCAAGCAGCATTGCACAGATCCGACTCTCATAATTGATTTTTGTTTGTCTCGTTTTATCTCTAGCACTGGCGGAGCTTCTGCAAGGCCGAGTGGGCCATGGCCCGCCCAGGGCTGGAGCAAAACAAAAAAAAATATATACGCATGATGCCCATCCGGCCAGCCCACCAGTGGTGCAGCCCACAACATGCGTCACCCTCCAATCACACGGCACACACAAAGAAGCATATAGCAGTCGTTCCTCGAAAAAAAAAGGACACAACGGAGGTGCTTAGGACCAGCCACCTCACAGCGCAGACGCCCACCGCTGCCGCGCTGGCCGCCGGCCACCTGCGCAAATCAGTGTCTCCTGGTTCCTTCCCACCCCACGTCTAGACGGTCCACAGGCGAGTTAGCCAGTCAGCCGATGAGCCAAGAGCAAAACCGGCAACGACTACAACAGTCGACGGCGAGGAGGCAACTCCTTCTCTAATCCATCTGAAATTCGGAATCCCTGCAAGTGTGCGCAAGTAAACTGAGTTGAATTGTTCCTCATTTTCTTTGCCTAAATTCCACATAGGTCATTGTTCAATGAGTCATCCCCTAAATCCCAAATTGTCTAAATAATGCATTGAAGATCTATTTGGTACTGTCTAAAGTTGTTGATTTGAAGCTTACAAGTTTAAAACAAAGGCATTGTTGTTTGCTGTCATTTTGGTTTGGAGTAGTATATAGATGGTCAAATGTCATGGTTTATTTTGGTTTGGAGTAGTACACATATGCAATTATGCATCTGCTCATCCTGTAATCAATGAGAACAATATATGGTTCAGATCTTGAAATTTTGCGTGTACTCTGGCCCGCCCAACAATTTTTTTGTAGCTCCGCCACTGATCTCTAGTCTAGTTTATCGATAAAACAACCCTGACAAAAGCTATTTTTACCAACCGGACGAGAGCTACATCAAGCAGGGGTTGTGGTAGGTGTATTGCATACATGCAATGTGAATATATAGAGACAACGAAGGAGACAAACAACGTGCTTTAAACAACGGTATGCTGGCGGCCGAGTACATAATGCGCCACATATTAAGATCATATATTTTCCTCATTTAAAAGAAAGAAATGAACTCGTACCATCGGTGTTGTTTAATTCGATCGCAATAAATCCTTATGCTCTCTATATTCGAAAAATGCCTTCACGGGATGCTCTGCCAAAAAACATCTGGATTCAAATTTATCAGAGTGGCAACTCCCTCGCGGTGCCGGCCGTTGCTCCTCCTCTTGAACCGTCGCCACCTGCAAGGCCCGCGAGCGCATCATCCGTGTGTGTAGGCACATTTGGCACCTCGCGCGTAGAAGCCGGCGTGACAGGCCAAACTGTATTACGTGGCCATAGAGAGCCTGGCCGGGATCTCCCATAGAATGAGAAGGGGGCATCCGGCAAGCCAGTAGTGGCCATGCTAGGGACAAACTTTTGGGTGAAGGTGGCTAACAATGCCTTTACGGACTTTCTCCTCACACACCTCCAGCGTTAACTCGCGCTCTAGTTCGGGACCATTGGCGACGCCTGGAGGGTCGAATCAACTAGCTCGACTACCACACTGACGGGCAACATCATGTTGGGCATGTTCTGATACATCTCAGACGTATCTATAATTGTGAATGTTTCATTCCTATTATTCTCTAATTTCATAATGTCTTTTAAGCTTTTTGAGGGAATTCAGTCGAAGTCATGTTTCTACTTTTTTTTTTAAACAAATTGAGAACTCATGATACAGAATCGCCCACAAATTCCGAGAAAAATTAGTGGGATTTTTGCATCGAAAGAGGACCAAGGGACCAAGGACGGCGCCTAGAGGGGCCCATAGGGCCTAGGTGCTATTGCGCCA